AAACACTTGGACAACCTCACTGACGAGAAAGTCATTCACTCGGTGCGCTCTACTTCAGTTCTAGTCAGCTAATCAATACAGAAGTGGAGTGCATGGCTCACTGGCGTGAACATTTCAGTCATAATATATACATACCCCCAATTTCTTTGGACCCTGAAATAAAAATGATCCTGGTGAATGTACTATCAACAAAACCCACAGAATTATAAAGAAACTTAAGGGAAATAATGTGGCCAAAATCTGTGGAATTCCCGTGGCACTGCTAAAATAACCTCTGAATCAGCTATTCTTTTTTGGCTGCAGATGGTGTTCAGTATAATCTGGAGAACAGAGTTGGTCTTGTCTGAGTGCAAAAAGACATTTTTTACAGCTTTAGAAATGTAAAGGCAGCAAATGAGACTGTTGTAATTATTGAGGCATTACTCGTCTATCTGTCTCAGGTAAAGTTTTTTCTTCTGTCTTGTTGGCTAGAGCTACTGATATCTTTAGGAGCAAGAGAAGACCACAAGAAGCTGGCTTAACTCCTGGTCATTCTATGACAAAGCAAATCTTCAGAGTGTGCCAGTTTATCAAGAAGGCACAAAAGTCCAAACACCCCATTCACACTGCATTTGTGGATATCAAGTCTGCATTTGACTCTGATAGGGAATCACTCTGGCTGATCTTGAAACCAGAAAGTCTCCCTGACAGGCTCTGTAGAATGTTCTGTTTCCTAATTGATGACTCCTCAAGTTAACTTCTTGTAAATGGGAAAGGAACTTCCTTCTTCTGAATTCGGTTGGACACTTGACAAGAGTGTGGTGCTTCTCCAGAAGCCTTTAATACTGTCATAGACTACACGCTTGACCAGGGTCTAAGTAAATGAATTTTAGGCATATGATAAGAACCTCACTGACATTGATTTTGCTGACAACATAGCACTATTTGTTGAATCAGTGGATGAGCTGGTTGTGGTACTTGAAGCCTTGAAAACCTCAGCAGCAAAAATCAGACGGAAAATTAATCGCAGTAAAAGTAAAATCCATCCATTCACTGATTTTGAACATGGTGCTGGGCTGTAGCATCCAATAGTGTGAATACCCATTGAAGATTGTTGGTGATTTCACCTACCTTCGAAATGTCAATATCACAGGCAGGCTTGAGAGAGAATTTGAAGCCCACACTGCAAAAGCATCACCAGGAATGGGGCACCTCAACAAGAATGTCTTTCACAAACCAAACACCCTGATAAGTAGAGAGATGAAGCTGAGGATACATAATGCTTTGATGGTCAGTATTCTGACATATGGGACTGAAATTGTCAAGTTTGAAGGAAGTTGGACACCATTCAGATGAAGCATCTCCAAATAATCAAAAACATCAAATGTTACAAATTCAAGTTCAATTATGAGATCCATTTTTTAGGTAACCAGGTCCCACTCTTTCAAATGGTTGCCCAATGCCTTCAAATGCCCACCAACTTCACTGCAAGAATCATATTTGATTTTGACCCAAAGACAGCAGGACTGAAGAGACCCTCTGGAAGGCCTAAAACATGATGGCTGGATGGCATCAACAGACACCTTTTCCTCACAGACATCCTACCCATAAGCTCCAAATTTGGCACAGGACGGAACATCATGTAGGCACAAAACATGTTTGGTGATCTCTGTGTTGTCCAAGTGACAGTATGAGAACTAATCAACCAACTAACCTGTAAATCCTTTCAATTTTCGAAATAAATATTTGTGGTCTGCTCTGCCTCTAATGCAGGCAAGGGTCCCATGAAGAAAGGAAAAAAATAAAATATGGCATTTGAAGAAAGCTTGACCCCTCTAGAACTCAATGCTTATCATTTATATTTTCTACTTTTAAAATTGCTAACTAAAATAAGAAAAATAAAACCCTACAAAGGTGTTTATTTAAATTAAATTAACATGTAGTGAACCACAGAGCAAGGAAAGTCAGAGTTCAGGCTAAAACTCCTTTCTTAACTCTCCAGATGAGTTCTGCCTTGACACATACCTAGAACAAGCCCAAGGTTTCAATGACTTTGTACAGGGTGTAAATCAGGGCAGAATTTGATCCTTCTTGACTATGGACCTAATACAAAGCCTACGGAAGTCAATAGAAAGACTGCTATTGGTTTCACTGGATTTTGCACTAGGTCTCATCAGGGCCGGCTCCAGGGTTTTTGCCGCCCCAGGCAGCCCCGGAAAAAAAAATAAAAAAGCCGCGATCTGCGGCGGCAATTCGGCGGGAGGTCCTTCGCTCCAAGCGGGAGTGAGGGACTGTCCACTGAATTGCCGCCGAATAGCTGGACGTGCCGCCCCCCTCCGGAGTGGCCGCCCCAAGCACCTGCTTGCGAAGCTGGTGCCTGGAGCCAGCCCTGGGTCTCATTCTGCCTGAGAGAACTGATTTTTGGTTTAGCCTAAAATTTGGGGCAAGAATGAAAAATGTTTCTTTTTGTGATCTGGTCTGTTTTCACTGATGGTAAAATTTTCTTGTTTGTTTGTTTGTTTGTTTGTTTTCCCACGCTGTTCTTCTGGCACCTGTCTCAAGTTCAGGACATTCAACATATGTGGAAACCATCATTGGCACTCAGACTTGAGACATTTTCTTTTAAGGAAAATAATTGTAATGATTTTGCATATGGTCAGATAATACTCAGACAGAAATGGGCTTTAAGGAGTGATTTGAAAAAGAGAAAGGAGGCATTTGGCATTGCTAAGTAGTTGCCCGTTCCAAGTGCAGAGGGTGTCATGAAGAAGACAGAAGAATGAGGAGACTGAGAAAGCTATTAGGAGAGAGTGAGAGAAACAAAAGGAAGAGTAGAAAGAATGAGAGCAGGGATGTGTGAATAAAAACATTTTTCAGTCAGTTGGTTAATTCACAATATTTGAATTCTATTCACTAGAAAATGTAAGGGTATTTTTGTTAAAAACTTTACGTGTAATATAGTGATGATATTAGATGTGGACTCACTCAGGCAGAAAATTATGTGTAGTATGCAAACAAGTCATAGATAGATTAAGTCACCATGTGTTTTCAGTCACTGTCAGCCAGTGGAATTCAACTGCCAATTTATTTTTGCCTTTTTCCAGCAGTCTCAGCTGGCTACACAGTTGGTCAGCACTATTCATTTCAAGGCTCTGTACCCCTTTATGGGAACAGTGCAAACAATCCAAATCCAGTTTGTAAGTTAAATAGTCATCCTCTGGTAATAATAGCTATTATTTGTGTAGAATAAGACAAATATTTGAGGAGGAAAAATATATGTTGGAAAGTTGCTTAATCCATACTTATTTTGCAAATGACATGTATATGTTAATTTCATTCAGAATGTAATTTTAAATAAACATACATATAATCGGCCTTGCCTCTGGTTCCCTATCTCAGAGAACAGTTCCATTTCAAGTCATCTTAAGGGAAGGTTTATTGTTTCAGGTCCAAATGTGGGCTAGTTATTGGAAAGACAAAATAAATTCAGGAACAGACTAGGGACAGGGATCCAATAAAAGAAACTGCAGCCAAAAAAATGTAATTCTCCTATTACAAAAGAAATAGGGAAATCACACAGAGAACATTTGAAAAGTATACAGATTGTGACAAGGGACAACTTTTCAGCAGCAAGTCAGTCCATTAATTTTGCAGGATTAAAAACTATAGGAAAAACCCTCTAATTATTATGAGAACTATGTTTTTGTTTTTAAAATAATAAAACCTCTCTCGCTAATAGTTGCATTACTATGAGTCATAATGTCATGTGCCAGTCACATTCAGTTCTCTCCCAAAATATAACTGTCACACCCTGATGGAGGGCCTAGCAGCTACAAAATTAAAATAGAACACCCTAAGAGAAAATTCAGTCCTCAAACAAAACTGTTGACTCTTTTCTTCAAGACAAATAGACCCCCACTAATAATGATTATATGGATTAAGGCTTACTTCAACTAACAATTTGTCAAGACCCCAAGTGTTAAACTGTAGCCAGATTTCTTTCTCACGGATATGCCCAATTACTTTAAACTGGTCCCCAAACTGAATTTTCTCTATCCATTTGGAGCTTATTTTACAGTCCCCCTGCAGCACTCAGATAGACTTGAATTGTGGAAAATATCTACAGATTTTGAAAGGATCAAATCCTTTAGACTGCAGTCTACCAACCCATTTCTTATTTTCCCCCAGGAAGAGAAAAAACCTGTCACAACTCATTAAAACACCCTGTGTTAAAAAGCAAAATTTTCTAGACACTTCATCCAATTTGGGGTGAGGCTGGTTTGGGGTTTTTGTTTGTTTGTTTGTTTCTGCAAATCTGAGTCCTACAAGAAATAATTACTACAATGGCTGTTTCTACCATGTTGCTTCTGCTAGGTTTCAAGCCTTTAGTACTATGACTTGTTTTGTCCAGATGGCATATACTTAATATTGCTCCAACAGTAGATTTCTATGAAAGAGTTCAGTAGTAATGAAATATATTATATTCACTGTTTGTCCAATATTACATGCCGATAGCAAATAAATTATTAAAACAGAATGTATTCACATTGATTGCTGTGAAGGTTATACATGCATCAGTAAATCAAAACAAGTTCTCAAAAGATAGAAAATCAATTTATGTGACAGATAGGAAAAGCATGGCTGTTGAAATCTCTCTCAGACATTTGGCTGTTTTTGAAAAAATAATTTAATATAATAGAAGTATTTTTAAAAAAATGTTGCTTTGACTGAACATAACTAATGTGCAAAATTGGAGGCCTGAACAGAGTGATAATACACCTAGACAATAATAAAGCGTATAGTAGCTTTTGATAGAATATAGAATAACAATTTTATTTTATTATTTTGCTGAAAATGCAAAGCTTTTCACAATGTACTTAGTATCATAAATAAATTCCCAAGAGCAGCATTTACTGCAAACAGTGTTGATTTTTTCCTCCACATACGAGTTGTGGTCTAGGAATAATCAAAACTAAGGTTTACCCTCTAGTAAAATTTTGTTCTAAACTTTTTTTTTACAGAATTATTACCCAAATGCCAACAGATGAATTGCCAATACAAATGTAGTATTTCAAGGAATGGCACCGGCTGTTACTGTGAGGATGGATATGAAGTAGGCGATGATGGAAGAAACTGCAAAGGTAACTAGGAAATGTCACCTTCTCTAAGAATATGGCCCCAGACTTGCAAGAAGCTACATGAAGGTGAACAATGGCAACTTTGCAGAGCTTCTTGCAGGATCTGAGCCTAAATTTGGTTTTAGAATGGTATAAACAGATGGTTAAACTATATTTACACAAAACATGGCATGTAAGGTAATTAGGTACAGTGCTAGTGAGTTCCCACATTTGCTACTGCTGTTTGGCTAGAATCACATTTATATTTGACCTGCCAGGTGTATCTTCTCAATGGAAGTAGCATCTTTTTAGAAATTTACAATAAGTTGTGAAGCACAGCAAAATTTACAGAAAGACCTGAAGGTCCCTCTCTGGTGTTTACATCAGAGACAAATGTGTCTCTATGGGTGGAAGCTATGATTCCATCTGAGCCAACTACTGTATATGGCAGTCCAGTCAGGATCTTGAGAATGAGATCAAGAATAGGACTACTTGCCTCTCCCCCCCTCCCCCGCCCCCAATGCTCACACTTATGACTTATAGTCAGCCAATGAAACAGAATGAGCTTTGTGCATCAGGTAGTGAAGATGGACCAGCATTTCAAAGGACCACTTGTGTAATCTCATAGCAATCTAAACTGGGTCGTGGCCCCACCAGCACTCCAATCCAGAAGGATGACAGTCAGGACATCCCTGCTGATCCTTTCTACCCTCCTGTGCCTACAATGTGAGGAGAAAGAGTATTAAGATCTGTCTAGGGCTGCTCAGACAGGCCTGGAACTCATCTGCATCTGCATGAGCTGCCTCCTTTCTAAGCATCTCTGAGCCTCCCTCTCCTGAACATTCTCTGAAACCTTGTGAGCCATTTGGGGATATGATACCCCTTACAGTCATGTAAACCTGGGTCAGAGTTTGATCCATGAAAAAAAACCTCAATCATATAGCTTAGTTTTGCACTTGCCTTTTAATAGGTCATCTGCCTGTGAAGTTTAGATTGAAATTGATATTCCTTTTCTAGTCCAGCAATATATGAATTTCTATTTCCCAACAATTTTTTTCTCTTCAAAAGTAGATAGGGTTTTCCCATCTCTTTATTAATGTACTTGCTGGCTATCATTCCTCCTCCCCACTTTAACAGAATTATTCCGCAGAAATGTAATTTCTTATGTGTGTGTCTTCTGATCTCTGGGTTTGTGTTTTGTAATATTTGGAAAAAATAGATACAATAATTTCATTAGCAAGTTGTTGGGACTTTTTTCTTTAATATGATTTTTGGCTAGATTCTCAGCTACTGTAAATTTGCATATCTTGGTTCTCTCTAATAGAACTATGCTAATTTACATTAGCTGAGAATTTGATCCTGCATTTTTATTTCTTTCCTTGGACATTTGAGTTGTTTGAGGTTTTTTATGACGTTGTTGACAGTTATAGGTAGAAGCTGACGATTTCACTAAAGAGTTTAAACCATTTAAAATAGTTTCCTAACATGAATGAGTTGACATGCATATTCAGTTATTTCCTCGGTTGAAACGCTGCTTCATTCATAGTCAATAGCGATTTTAAATACTTACATATAGTACAGGTGGAAGTGGTCTCTGGTGGCAGCAATAACCCCAGTGGTTCCCTAATTGTTATGTTACTCATTGATCATTTGAAGGCCTTTAATTTTCAAGCTGGATAGCAGCTAGCCTTGCAATGTTAACTACTGGCCTTCTGTTTGGTTAATGGCATAGTTTCATCAGCAGACTGCTCAGATAAGATTGTGGCTGAAAACAATGTGAAAAAATAAAAATCTATCTGTAGAGGGTTTACCCTTGCTTTTATAATGTTGTTTAGGGGGTGAATTTTGCACCCCCCCCCCAAGATTTTACTCTTAAGTGAGGGCTCTTACTTACATATTATTTCAATGTATCTTTTAGATTTAGATGAATGTAATGTGTATGGGGCCTGTAGCCAAACCTGTATGAATACAGATGGATCATATGCATGTAGCTGTGTGGAGGGTTATGTACTTCAGCCTGACAACAAATCTTGCAAGGCCAAAAATGGTAAGTTTAATTTTTTTTATACATTATAAGAATGATTTCTTAAAGTTCTCTGGGTCTGCCTTTCTCCCTGGTAAACAGGGTAAATATTTATCTACATAGTAGAGATGGATTTTCCTTGAATACAGTGATCCATTGTTAGAAATCTAGAAAAAAAAAACCATGTTATGTAAATCCATGTAATACAAAACACTTTTGAAGGAGGATTCTGATTACCTAGAAACCTTTCTGAAGGGGTAAATATAGTTATGCAAGCTACTTTATTCAGCCAAGATTAGTGGAGCTGCCAATTCCCTCTTTCATTTCAATACATACAATTTCCACATAAACCCCACCTCCCTGAGACAACCTGGGTGTCAGAGGAAATTATCATGAGGTAATTATACCCTTGGGATATTAGAGACATGAGCCTCTGCCTTGCTCCGTGCAACATCCCAGGGAGTTGATTTGAAGATCTTCATATTCACATTATGCCTTATTGGTTAATTAATGCATATTTTCATTACCAATAATAAATTAAGGAGTTAAGGGAATTAGTGAATTCTGTTTAATGAAGACAAATTGAACAAAGTATTTCCCTAGTCAGTGTATTGACTCAGCAACCTATTCTTATTTTCTCCTACAATTTGTTCAACATATATAATGACCAAATCCTATTATAAAGGTATATTTTTATGTCGACATGTGGAAATCTAGAGGAAACAAATGTGTATTTTTCTATGTCAGTTGGCAGACTTGTGGCAGGTGCTGTGTTTCTGAAGCTAAAACTAGCAAACACTATGGCAAAGAAACTACATACTTGTGTTCTTATTTTAGTACCACTGAGAGTTACGATTTAAAATATTGATGAGCTCAAAAAGTAAGACTTGAAACTTAAGTTTTGTATTGATCCACATAGCATGGTTATAGATTAAAAAAAATAGGTAATCTGATACAAGCAACTCCGTACAGAGAAAAACTATTTTAATATTCTTCTCAACTCTCTCCATAAAAAAATGTTATTTTGGTGGGACATAACAGGAGTTGCATCTGATACAGTAAAAACAGTTCAGGACTGGGGAAGGTAGATGGCTCCAGGACTGATAATGAGATGAGTCTTTGACCTATAGTATAAATACAGCCCAGTATGTAATGATTGACAATGGTAGCCATCTATCAGTATTTCAGTAGCTCATGTGAAATAAGCTGGTGCACTCAGCCACTTCCTCATAGAGAAATGCTTCTCCCTCTCTCTTTCTCTCATAGTTTACAGCAATTTTTACCCTTACTGGCAGACTCAGCAAAGAACCAGTTTTCAATGAACACAGAGACCTGTATAAGATAGTTCAAGTCAAGGCTGAGATAGTGTGAGGAAATGCATACTGCTGCTGACCTTGTTGTACTTGTTCTTTGAATAAGCAGAACAGGATTTAACAACACACTTTCATTGTGTGAGCTACATCTTAATAGAGAGAAATTGTCTCACATGCTTTCCTGTTTGCAATTGCATGAACCACTTGCTCTCAGACTGACTATATAACATTTCTTTGGCAATTGCAGCAATTGGTTACATTGGAAAGTAATATTAGGAAGGTATTTGATGTATTTTTAGCTTCCTTTATACTGTTTAGCAGGTGGAAACAAGGAGAGTTGCAGTCATTATTCATTATTAATAGTATTTATTACAGTAGTGCATAAGGGCCAACCAAGAATGGGGCCTCATTTTGCTAGGCACTAGACAAATGCAGAATAGTAGACAGTTTCTGCCCTGAAGAACTTTCAACTAAATAGACCAGACAGACACCATGAGGGAAGGGTTATAACACATAAATAGAATGAACAATGTGGTGGCAGCAAACAGCATGTTAGCTCCACAATTTTTTTATGAGGTAGGTTATTTAGGAGGGAATAAGCTGAAGGGAAGAGGGGTAAGGAGACAGGTTCTGGGTGAAGTGTGGAGAGAACGTGATAGAGGGGGAGGGTTGGAGCAAACAGTTAATCAGCATAGGGCAGAGAGAGTCCTGTCAAAAATGTAAACAATTCTGTTAACGGTCCAGAGGACCAGCTTTGGCTGCTTCTGGTCCTACGGCCTGGAGTCTCTGTCTGGCTCCAGTCTGTAGTTTTCTTCTAAGGCCACATGGGGGGCAGGGGGATGACGGGAAAGGGAGGCACTACCTGTGTCTTAGTGCCTCCAAAGTGGAGGGAGCTATGCCCTGTTAGCTATCTATGGGCTGCTAAGTGCTCTAGGGACCACAGCCAAATTCAGTCTCCAGTGCCCAAATCTATCACCTTTCACAAGTCTTGACTTTAAACCAAACTGCAAAATAGGAATACAATAAAAACAGTAGGCTGGATTTGGATTCACTTATATCTGTTTTATAACTCCATTTGATTAATGTAGTAACTCCTGATTTGCTGTAAATGAGTGCAGAATTTGACACGTAATCTTTGGGGCAGGAATTTATTAAGGGATAAATCTGCCACTGCCTCTGCAGTTGTGCTGTGCTGCTGCCCAAAGGTCGGGGGAGGAGTAGAATTCTGAGGAACTGCTCTGATATCTGCACCCAATATGAAGCCTCAGATCAGTGCCCAAAGCTGCCAAGTGCAGGAGGAGCTGACAGTGGGTCTGTCATTAGAGTGAAGCCAAAGGAGCCACTGCTTCAAGAATCCACCCACCTCCTCCCACCGTGAAAGGGTACAGTGGGGTCAAACTGCAGTAGTGGCAGCAGAGTGTCCAGAAGTAGAGAATTCCATCACTGCCACCCTAATACTGACAGTACTTGGGCTGTGTGCTGTTATGCACTATTTAAGCCTAAATGTTCAGCATCTTGATTAATTATATCATATTGTTACTTCAAGGGACATAAATAAGATGCTAAGTTGCTCCGTTCATTTAAATATGTCTGGAGCTGATCACTTTTGTGTACATAGAATCATAGAAGATTAGGGTTGGAAGAGACCTCAGACGGTCATCTAGTCCAACCCCCTGCTCAAAGCAGGACCAACACCAACTAAATCATTACAGCCAGGGCTTTGTCAAGCCGGGCCTTAAAAACCTCTAAGGATGGAGATTCTGCCACCTCCCTAGGTAACCCATTCCAGTGCTTCACCACCCTCCTTTTTGGAACCCCCCTTCAGGTAGTTAAAGGCTGCTATCAAATCCCCCCTCACTCTTGTCTTCTGCAGACTAAATAACCCCAGTTCACTCAGCCTCTCCTCATAAGTCATGTGCCCCAGACCCCTAATCATTTCCTTTGCCCTCCACTGGACTCTCTCCAATTTGTCCACATCCTTTCTGTAGTGGGGGGAACAAAACTGGATGCAATACTCCAGTTGTGGCCTCACCAGTGGCGAATAGAGAAGAATAATCACTTCTCTTGATCTGCTGGCAGTGCTCCTACTAATACAGCCCAATATGCCACTGGCCTTCTTGGCAACAAGGGCACACTGCTGACTCATATCCAGCTTCTCATCCACTGTAATCCCCAGTTCCTTTTCTGCAGAATTGCTGCTTAGCCAGTCAGTCTCCAGCCTGTAGCGGTGCATGGGATTCTTCCTTCCTAAGTGCAGGACTCTGCATTTGTCCTTGTTGAACCTCATCAGATTTCTTTTGGCGCAATCCTCCAATTTGTCTAGGTCACTCTGGACCCTATCCCTACCCTCCAGCGTATCTACCTCTCCCTCCAGCTTAGTGTCATCTGCAAACTTGCTGAGGGTGCAATTCATCCCATCATCCAGATCATTAACAAAGATGCTGAACAAAACTGGCTCCAGGACCAATCCCTGGGGTGCTCTGCTTGATACCAGCTGCCAACTAGACAGCGAGCCGTTGATCACTGCCTGTTGAGCCCAACAATCTAGCCAGCTTTCTATCCACCTTATAGTCCATTCATCCCATCCATACTTCTTTAACTTGCTTGCAAGAATACTGTGGGAGACTGTACCAAAAGCTTTGCTAAAGTCAAGATATATCACATCCACCGCTTTCCCCATATCCACAGAGCCAGTTATCTCATCATAGAAGGCAATCAGGTTGATCAGGCATGACTTGTCCTTGGTGAATCCATGTTGACTGTTCCTGATCACTTCCTCTCCTCCAAGTGCTTCAAAATGGATCCTTGAGGACCTGCTCCATGATTTTGCCGGGGACTGAAGTGAGGCTGACTGGTCTGTAGTTCCCCGGTTCTCTTTCTTCCCTTTTTAAAATATAGGCACTATATTTGCCTTTTTCCAATCATCCGGGACCTCCTCTGATCACCACAAATTTTCAAAGATAATGGCGAATGGCTCTGCAATCACATCAGCCAACTCCCTCAGCACCCTTGGATTCATTAGATCTAGACCCATGGATTTGTGCACATCCAGCTTTTCTAAATAATCCTTAACCTGTTCCTTCACCACTATGGGCTGCTCATCTCCTCCCCATACTGTGTTTCCCAACCTGATAGCTTTCTTTGACAGGGTAACAAGCCTTGTGGATAGGAGGAAGTGGTAGATGTGGGGCGCATGACTTATGAGGAGAGGGAACTGGGCTTGTTTAGTCTGCAGAAGAGAAGAGTAAGGGGGGATTTGTTAGCAGCCTTCAACTACCTGAAGGAGGGTTCCAAAGAGGATGGAGCTCGGCTGTTCTCAGTGGTGGCAGATGACAGAACAAGGAGCAATGGTCTCAAGTTGAAGTGGGGGAGGTCTAGGTTGGATATTAGGAAACACTATTTCACTAGGAGGGTGGTGAAGCACTGGAATGGGTTACATACGGAGATCACCTCCTGAGGTCTCTTCCAACCATAATCTTCTATGAGGTATATATTGACTTTAGTAAAGCTTTTGATACTGTCTCACATGGGGAACTGGGAAAAGGGATTTTGCTCCAAGTGTTTCCTCATTCACAAAAAGAAGGAAGAATGGAGACCCATCTTAGATCTCAGACAACTAAATGTCTTAATCTGCACATCAAGGTTCAGAATGGTCATTCTGGCATGAATAATTATTTCACTGACCAAAGGTAAGTGGTTCACAGCTCTTGA